TAACCTTGAGATGTCTCAGCCAGCACATTCTGGAGATGAGGTCCATTAAGAGTACAGTACAGATGCTACCCAGACCAGGCTGGGCCACCGAGAAGTGGCGGTTACTACTACCAGTGTTGAATGACTCCACAGCTAAGATATGCTAAGCACTTGGAATAAGACTCAATAACTGATTGCTGCTGTTATAATTTAGAGAGAAGTCAGATTCTTCCCCTTGCCAAAACTCATCCAATATTCTAAATATTTACACAGTCATATATATTCAGGAGAAACTTGAAGGGGAAGTTGTTAATGCATAAAAAAATTTTTTAGATGAAAACTGATCATTAACAGATTGTGTAAAACCATCTACTGCCAAAGGTATTAAAATTGATGACCGCTCCCAGTCCCAGAAAGGGGAGAGCCATTTTAAAATGAGTTTAGGCTGACAGCTTTCTAGGAAGCCCTCTCTCGTTTTTATGTTACCTAAAATACTTCTAGCTTAAAAAGATCTGAAACCTAAGAAAGAAATGATGAACTTGCCCGAGAAGGTGTTCCAGACCTCACCCCAGTTATTATGACTGTTATCAAAAAGACAAAAAATAACAGACGCTGGTGAGGATTTGAGAAAGAGAACACTCATACACTGTTGGTTGGGATGCAAAACAGTAGAGCCACGATGGAGAACAGTATGGAGGTCCCTAAAAAAACTAAAAATAGAGCCACCATATGGTTCAGCAATTCCACTACTGAGTATGTATCCAAAAGAAAGGAAATCAGCATATGGAAGAGTTATCTGCACTCCTGTGTTCTCAATAGCCAAGATATGAAAACAAGCTGGGTGCCCGCCAACAAATGAATGGATAAAGAAATGTGGTATGTATCCCCAATGGAAAATTACTCAACCATAAAAAAGAATAAAATCCTGTCATTTGCAGGAACATGGATGGAACTGGAGGATGCTATGTTACATGAAATAAGTCAGGCACAGAAAGACAAATGTATTCTCTTTCATATGTGGGTGCTACACAAGTTGACTTCGTGAAAGCAGAGAGTGTAATGGTGATTACCAGAGGCTGCAAAGGAAAGAGGCTGAGGATGAAGAGAAGTTGGTTAATGGGTACAAAAATACAGTTAGAAAGAACAAGTCCTTAGTATTTGATAGAACAGTAGGGAAATCATAGTTGGCAATTTATTAACTATTTCAAAACAGCTAGAAGAGAAAAATGATAATCTCCCAACAGAAATAAATGATAAATGCTTGAGGTGATGATACCCCAATTACCCTGATTATTATACATTGCATACAGGTATCAAAGTATCACATATACCCCATAAATATTTCTAGCAATTGTATATCAATAAGAATAACGTTAAAATTTTTTAGAAAAGAAGGGGTCCTAGGAAAGCTGTTGTTAGTGGCGTGTCACTAGAGAGCACTGGCATCTCAAAGTCTAGCTATTAATGATAAAAATGCAATTTTGAAGTGTTTTCTCTTTTTCAAATCAAGGGAAACAGGACTCAGCAGGAGGGATTCAGAAGTAGGTCACACGTTTGTCACACAGACTGCTGTGGGAAGGGGCGGACTCTACAGAAACTAGCTTGGAACTGAAACGTGACTGGGAGTTGATTTACTCAGTCTGCAGCCATTTTTTGAGGGGCATACCATAGAGAGGATTAGATAGCCCAGGAAGCCACAGGTAGCCTGATGGTAATGCAGCGCGTTGAACCAGATTCCCAGGTTCAGTAGGCCCAAGGAATTTTGCCACTTGTAGATTTTCTTCTGCTTTTTCCTTCAGCTCCCACCAGCAGTGCTCATTTGGAGCTGGGTTGAGTCACTGGGTACACACACACACACCCCAGAGGCTTGCTGGGAGGAGGCCTCAGGAGTTGAAGCCGCTGGAGCTGCTTCAGGTTGTTTATGCCATGAGCTCGGGTCTTCTGATAGCCTAAGAACAGAAGGTTGTTCATATAAGCAAATTTTCTTGGAAAGTCCAGGGACCAGGTGGGCGAGGAATGTTGCCTGCAGGACCCAGCAGTCTTAGTCACAGTGGGGAGCAGCTCTGCCTTCCTCAAACTCCTGTGCCTCTGACCACTGAGCCCCCAGCCTTCTCAAGAGCTCCTGTATTCCAGACTTTTTCTGGGTGTGAAGCAGCCATCCTCATCGGCTTGATCTTGGAGAGTCCAGCCCCGTGGAGGCTCCGTGGACATTTGCTGAGATGTGTTTTCAGCACATATCGCTAAGCAGAGATGTGGGGTGACAGCCAGCCAGTCTGGAACCAGTTTGATGTACTCTCCCTTTATCCTCTCCTGCAACAAACATGACTGGGAATTCTGCCTGTGCTGGGCATATTCTAGATATGATCTAGACTTGAAATCTTCAGACAGACAAATAGGAGAACCTGCAAAGCCCCACAGTGGAAAAGAGTAAAGCATGGTCAGATCATGGAGTCACAACCCAGGGACCAGGTAGCTGGAATGTAGGATGGATAAGGGGAGGCTGGTCTCCAGGCTGTGACTCCATGCAGAATCTGCAGATGGTATCATGTAGTCATTGCAGCAAAGCAGTGAGAGGCAGTGGACGTTTTAAGCAGTAAGGTGGTCCACCCTGATTCATTCTGTGAGGAAACTGAATTCGGGATTATTGTGGCCACCCTACATTCAGCCTGTCTCTGTGAGATGGTCAGATAGGAGTGTAGGATGGTCATCAGCGCTCCAGGCCCATGAGTCCTGCCTGCAGTGACCTTGCCTCTCTAACCTCCATGTGTAAAAGGGAAAGAACACTTGCCTTACCTGACTGGGTTGTTTTGAGGAGGGAATGAGATGTTGGAAGTGAGAGCTTTCGAGACATTGAAACACAGCGAAAGACATTTTTTTAAAACAAGCTGCTTTGACAGTGGGGCCACCAATGTTCTTCTTTTTAATATAGTGTCATTTCTCTCGTTACCACATCCATTCCCCCCTGGAATTATTCCTTTAGTAGCAGAGCTGGAACAACAAGAAATAAATACCTGCCTCTGGACTGCAGAAGAGCAGAGTTCATAGTTCCCAAAAAGGACCCGAGGACAGGCCTGGGCGGGGCAGGAAGTGCGCAGCCTGGCCTGTGGCTCCGTCTGTGTCTGTGTACAGAGAGATCTGCCCACAAACAACCATCACCAACACAAAGGAGCCCCGGGAGGCTTCCTGAATGCCAGGCTCAAGGGTTCCCTAGAGGCAGAACACCAGTCCTCACTCTCCCCTATATGTATGGGAGTGCTTTCCAGGTGACTCATAGGAGTAAAATGCAAAAAATGAAATAAAGGCCATTAGTATTATTCCAAGAAAGTCCAGTGGCAGGTCTTGTATTGTGTTCTAACTTATCTCAAGATCAGAGAAGGAAATAAGAAAAGGCTTGGTGTTAGTCCTCTCAGAACCAAAGCATTTCTGCCCTTTTCTTTGTGAGAACAACTGTTCTTAGGGCTTGACTTCAGTAGAACGATGGTAGCCCCAAATCTGAGAGGGCATGCCCATAAGGTCCTTTACATATGCCAAAGAAGTCACCCAGAGGTCCAGCAGGGAAAGACATTGCTTTATTAGAACTTACAGGAGGCACTGATGGCGCCCAGTCGGTGAAGAATCTGCACCTTAGTACAGTATGGCAAGCAGTTTTATAATCAAAACAAGCAAGTTAATTATTCAAATTTCTATACAGTGTTTACAATTACATGAATTAAGAGAGACAGCTTGCCAGGCACGGTGGCTCACGCTTATAATCCAGCACTTTGGGAGGCAGAGGCTAGAGAACTGCCTGAGCACAAGGATTTGAGATCAGCCTGGGCAATTTGGTGAGACCTTGTCTCTACAATAAATCAAAATAATTAGCCAGGTATAGTGTGCCTCCCTGTAGTTCCAGCTACTTGGAAGGCTGAGATAGACAGTTGCCTGAGCCCAGCATGTCGAGGCTGTGGTGGCCATGAGTGTGCCACCCCTGCACTCCAGCCTGGGTGACAGAGTGAGACTCCTACTCAAAAAGAAAAAAAAAGGGTACCAACTGCATTATCTTTAGACGTGCTTTGTCACCTGCATCCTGAGATAAGTCATTACTGGGAATATGCGCATATCTGTCAGAGACCAGCCTTAGCCAGAGGCCTCTCTCTGAGGGAGTGGGGAAGAAAGAAGTCAGGTATAGGGGAAACCATCTATATTCCCACATTACCTGACAGATAGAAGTGAAATGCCCCCCTGGACGAAGGCTGCCGATATGGCTAGAGAGGCAGGAGAGTCACGTTGATGAGCTGGCCTTTGAGATGCCAACAGGCATCTTTCTCCTAGCCCTACCAAATACCAGCTCTATGACCTTGGGCAAATCACCTGACCTTTTAGAGCCCAGATCCTCTGTCCAAAAAATGGAGGTAAAATAGCACCAACATGGCCTGATGGGGTGCTGTGAGAATGTGGTGGGAACACAGAGAGGCCGGGACACCGAGGCTGTTTTAGGACGTCGCACATTTATTTATTTGCACCAGCACGACTCAGTGAGCTAATGCTCTGAGGTTGAGCCTCCTCCCCTCCCCCCTGGGGAAGCAGGAGAGGGGTCTTACAACTTAGTTTCGGTAAGGGAGGGCGGTCGGGTTGAGCGATTACACATCTTCTTTGGAATTCACAAGGTTGTACTCAGCAAAATCAGATTTTTCAAAGAACAAATGGTCTTCAGGAAATGCATAGCAAGCAGGGTTGTAAACTGATCATTTGAAAAAGAGGATTTGAGTAAGTCTGTGAATTGGTCATTCTTTTGCATTTCCAGGAAAGTCCTCAGTCTTTGGCTGTTTGGTTTTCTCAAGCAAAACTGATCGGGCAGGTTTTCAGGGCTTGCCTTGATTTTCAAAAGGAATACTTTTAACCGCCATCAGCCCCCCTCTCTGCCCCAAGAACACTCTGCAATGCCCACAACCATGAGCCTGGCTGGTCGTGCAGGGGCCCCAAGAGCATCAAGCGCTGTCTACCCTGGTCCTCAGTGGTCTCCTCTGACCTCTTCCCCGCAGGCCTCTATGTTCTGGTGGGAGCCGGGGCCCTGATGATGGCTGTGGGGTTCTTCGGGTGCTGCGGAGCCATGCGGGAGTCGCAGTGTGTGCTTGGATCAGTAAGTGGGGCATGGGGTGAACGGGGGAGCGGAAAGGGAGGAGGGGTGTAAGGGGAGTCAGGACAACGGGCCCCAGTCCCAGCTCCTCACAGACTCTGGGCGCCCTGGGCACGTACGCCCGTCCTCTCTCTGAGTCTTGGTGTCTCCATCTCTTGCATGAGAATCATAGTATCTTTGTCCCTGCCTTATATGGAAAGTGTGGGAAAAAATGAGGTCAGTAGTGTAAAGATGTTTTGGGAGGAAAAGCACTTAGTAATTGTAAGGAGTGATTAGGATCGTTCTTTACAAAAATATTTCACAGTGGGTGGGGCAGCTAAGATTTCTATAGCCAGCAAACAAGCAAAACATTTCTGTTTGAGATCAATAACTTAACACAACATCCCTCTCTCGGCTTATTTTAACAAGCAGCCTCTGTCTAAAAAAAAAAAATTAAATTTCAATGAGCTACTCATCTAATCATCCAACGCCAGTATAGCCTGAGAGAAACAACGAGAAGGAAGCAGAGGGGCAGGAGGAGAGAGAATGTGTGCATTTCTCCATGGGGAGTCAGGAAGAGAAGTTTCATCAGGCAGCCTTTCTCTTTCTCATTGTAATCTTTGGCGTTTTTTAGCACAAGCTGCTGCTTCCGATCTCTTGCTCTGTGAACGTCTAACTTGTTTCTTTAGCCATCCATCCTTTCTCTCTTTCCCCTGTCTCATTTATCACCAAACGTAATTTGATCACAGCAAACCCAGAGAGCAGAACAGAAATCTGTCTAGAAGGACACCTCCACCTCCGCGCCCACCTCCTCAGAAAAGCCTTTCCAGGCCAGAGTCTCAAGTCACACCCTTTCCCAAGCCCAGACCCCATCGGTGACGGACTGTTTCCTGACCAAATCTTATATCTTTATAGGCCTTTTTTGTTCATCCAGTATTTATTGCACACATAGGTGCCAGGCCCTGTTCTGGGGGGTCGAATTTCATTTGGTTCTAGTCACTTTTTTATTCCTTCACTCATGTATTATATCTTCCCGTCCAGTATAAGGTCCATGATAGCAGAGACGTTGGAATCTTATCTTGTTCGTCACGATATACACAGCACCAAGGACAAATAAGTGCTTAATAAACAATTGCTGAATGAATGAACAAACTACACAAATGAAAGTGACTCAGATGTTATATAAAGAAAACTAATGGATAAATGCTTCTTGCTGGATCAGTTCAAATGAGTAATCTTGCCTAATGCTTTTCCAATGAATTAAAGAGGCTAAATACATTGAAAAGGTATTAAATGAATGAAATTAGTGTTTTCTCTCCTTTACAGTTTTTCACCTGCCTACTGGTGATATTTGCCGCTGAAGTAACCACTGGAGTATTTGCTTTTATAGGCAAGGGGGTAGTAAGTAAAAATTATTTACAATTTTTTTAGGATGGTTAAAAGCGTTCTCTTTATGGCAGAGGATATGAGACTATGGATAGCCACAATGCTATTAAGAAACCAAATAGCCCCCAATATTTTATAGTTCAAGCAGAGCTGTTTAACCTGAAGGTTATATACAGAACTGCGCATATGTGTATCTGACTTTGCATGCACATTTGTGCATTTGTGCAATGCACATTTTTCTCAGAAGATAGTTCATAGCTTTCATTAGATTTATAAAGTAGTCTAAGGGCCAGGCTCGGTGGCTCAGCCTGTAATCCCAGCACTTTAGGAGGCCAAGGCAAGTGGATTGCCTGAGCCCGTGGGTTCAAGACCAGCCCGGGCAACTTGGCAAGACCTCATCTCTACAATAAAATAAAAAATAGCTGGGCGTGGTAGCGTGCATCTGTAGTTCTGGCTACCTGGAAGGCTGAGGTGGAAGGATCACTAGAACCCAGAAGGTCGACACTGGGGTGGTCATGAGCATGTGTGAGGAGCATCCGTGAAGGAGTGAGACTCCAATTCAAAAAAAAAAAAAAAAAGTGGTCTAGGATAAAAACAGCAAAGGATCTTCGGTTGAAGATCATCCTTAGCTTGAAATGGAGTGAGGGTGAGATGACAGGCTTAAGAAGGAGGGACGGGGACCAGCATGCCTTCTCATCCCTTGTCTAACTGTTGTTTGTCCCTAAGGCTTGACCTGGACAGGGGCTGTGTCCTCCTCAAAGACTAGAGACTGGCCTGCTCCATGGGCGAGGGAAGCCAGTTTTGATTTGCTGCCCAACTGTGGGTGTCCAAAATAGGTTCTCAAGAGAACCCATGGAGGAAGTGTCCTTCTTAGAAGGGTAAAACCTACTGTGGAACAGAGGGGACTCGAATGGAGAAGAAGGGAGAATGGAAGCTTGAGTTTACTTGTTTCACATTAATTCGTGTGCCATCAATCTTGTGTGTGTCAACTTATTTTACACTAAGAACAGCAAACATGTAGAATAAGGAAAGGTCACCTCCTTTGGAATTTCTCTAAAGCAGCTAGCTATGTTCATAGGTAAATTTAAATTCAGCTACGTATAGAAGTGGAATTGAATTTTAGGACCATTTGAGATTTCTGTGGAGTGGAGGTCACACACCTTTATACTAGAAAAAGTATTCTCCCAGCTTTATGTGATATTTAAGCAGAGGAGTATTTCCTTGATGGTGAATGCCTTTTAAGCCATGTCATAAAAAGACCTGAGTCCTTTTAACCTGCGTGTACCGAGATTGCAGGGATCCCAACCCAGGCTGTGTATCAGAATCACCCTGAGTGGGGCCCAGGAATCAGTTGATGCTGAGGCCCAGTCAGGTTTGGGAACCTCCACTCCAAGTAATCTTCCTGGTCCATGAGAACAAGTCTCCATCTATCCTTCCATGTAAGCATCTTGGAAACTCCAGAATCTGTTATCTACTCCATGTATGCCAAATTGTCTTAAAATACAGATAAACATATGGAAAACCAGTATTTTTTGAAAGAGGGGGTTTTTCCTGAAGAAAGGAGAATGTTTGAAACTTCCCATTCACTGGTATTTTTTCAGGCTATACGGCATGTTCAGACCATGTATGAAGAAGCTTATAACGACTACCTTAAAGACAGGGGAAGGGGAAATGGGACCCTCATTACCTTCCACTCGACGGTGAGTACCTTTACTTCTTCCTTGAATCCACATCTTCTGGAGATGACGTAGGAGCCAGGTTCTCGCTAATCACCCGGGTTAAAAATAAAAACAAATTTAGTAAAGCCAAGTAGCAGCATCGTATTCTAGCTCTTCTGAGAGCCACAGTTTGCATTATGTGTGGGACCCTCGACGAGAGAGAAGCTGCCACACCGTGCTCGCAAGACAAAGTCAAGATACATGGCCCCAAGAGACAGAGGAGCATAAGCAAGAACACAGAGGAAGCGACCCCCAAAAATATCAGGGTTTCCCGAAGGGTAATGTTGTGGTATACAGGCGCCCGTGTGAACTTTAGGTCAGAAAGCTGATTTCTGGCTCTGGTTCTGTCCCTTGACAGCTTTGTGACCTTGAGCAAGTTACTGGGCCTCCCTGATAGCCACTCCTCTCCCTCGTTTGTAGAATAGAGGGTCACGGGGGAAGCCACACTCCCTTCTGGAACACTCAGTGGGGCTGTGCTGTCCGTGGAGCGCTCAGAGCTACAGACAGTGAGTCAAGTAAGCTTTCTAGAGGAGTTGGGCCAGGTCAGAGTCCTTCTGATTTTTACAGACTATGATATGGATAAGTAGCGATGAACTTCTGAGCCAAGTGTCTTCAGGTACCGAGTTCTTGTCCGTGACAAGAATATCTTGGAAGGCGTCCATGTGTATGTACTGTTTGGCCTCAGCTGCTCCAAGGACATCAAGCAGCACATAGGTTCCTTTGTCTTAAAGGATCAGACCTGTCTGCTGGCCAGTCTTTAAACCCGGCCGTTTGGCCTCTAGAGTTTACTGTAACCACTTCTCTCCTTCCCAGCCTGTCCCCAGTTAATGAGCCCTTCCTGAAGCTTATAAAACTTTAGCTCCTCAGCAGGTGAAATAGCTCCCCATCTGCAAGAAGGATTCTGAAGGCCCCAACTCCTGTCTAAAAAGCAGCAATTTACACAGACTCTGTCCGTTCATTTCTGGTCTCGCTTGGGTTGCCTTGAGTCACTTCCCATCATAAAACTCAGACAGCTTTAGAGAAGTCACTGTCTTCTTTTGCTAACAGGATCATGTGGTTCTTTGCTCTCATTCCAGAAATAGCAGTTTGGGTAGCAGTGACAGGACCTTGTCGCTGCTTGGCCGCCTCTGCACCCCAAGTCCTTAGCAGAGATGCCCATTCTTGTAGTTGCTGCTTCTCCTTCCATGTCCTTAAGTCTCTTTTCTGATTCTGTAGTTTCAGTGCTGTGGGAAAGAAAGCTCGGAGCAGGTCCGACCCACATGTCCAAAGGAGCTTCTAGGATACAAGGTAAGTTGGCTTCTACCAAGGTTCCCACCTATCTGTCGTGTGAGATGGTTTTTGCCTTTGGTGAGGAAGCAGGAGTCTCGGATCTTACCTCCGAGGGATTCTAGGAGGCCTTCTCCCAGTGGCTTCTGTGTCCCAGCTTTGTTCCATGTGAAATAAGGGAAGCAGTGCTGGGTCACAGGCCCTGGTACTCTGGGAAATAATGGGACGCTGACTTGCCGGGAATAATGCCCCATACTTATGGTATTCATCAAGCTCACCAGGGCCAGAGTCTGTGCCCAAGAATGTTGCCTCACCCCTCTCTATGGGAGTCGCAGCACTTGATAAGTGCTGCATTTATCGAGTGTTGTGAGTCAGGGTCCTATGCCAGCTTCAGGGAACCCTGATATGAAAAGGACTAGTCAAGGGCGACAGTGCCAGGTGAGAAGTCTGTACAGGGTACTCTAGAAACAGGGTAGAGTTCAGGAAACTGCATAAAGGAGGGGGTTCTTGAATAAAGGAAGGTCATCCCAGGCCCAGAAAGCAGCAGGAACAGAGGCACGGCGGTGTGATATTCTAGGACTGTGGGAAAATTGGGACCATGAGCAGCATTTGGGGGGAGGCAGACGGAGGCATAGCTCTCCACCTGGAGGCGCGAAGAAGGCATCGCTTTTGCAGAGAATGAGCATCATCGGGTTTGCGCTGCAGAGAGAATGCTCAGACCACTGGGTATGCAGGGGAGAAGGGTGAAGACCGAAGGAGGAAGACCACCTAGGTCGCACTTTTGTCACCCTGGTGAGAGACAGTGAGTGGCCCCACAAGTCACAAACAGCAGGGATGGAGAGGAAGTGCCAGTTCAAGACATGTTCAAGGAGTAAAATCGACAATAATGGGTGACTTGCAGGGTGTTGAGTGCTGAGTGAAGGCAGGGAGGCTCAGATTTCCAGATTTCCGCCTAGGTGACTCAGTGGGTCGAGGTTCCACTCACAGAGAGAGGTGAGTCCAGGAGAAGGAGCAGATCCTGGAGGCCAATGACAGCTGCAGCACTGGTCAGCTTTGTACTGCAGGTGACTGGGCTTACCGGGTGGTCTCAGATGAAGACACAGGTGTGGGGATCTTAGCATGCAGGCAGGAGCTGAAGCCATAGGAGGAATGGGAGCCCCCAGGGCGGGTGCACGGAGTAAGAAACGAGCAGGTGCCCCATCATGTAAGGGGTAGAAGCCAGAGCAAGAGACCATAAAGGAGGAGTCAGGGAGTCAGAGTCCAAAGAGTGGTGTCTGGGACGCCAAGGGAGCAGATGGTTCGCCCGTAAAGTCCAGTGCTGGGGAGAGGACAAGTAAATGAAGACTGAAGAGAGTCTGTTGGATTTGTTGCTTAGAAGGTCACTCATTGGATTGCCTGAGCCCGCGGGTTCGAGACCTGCATGGGCAACTTGGCGAAACCTCATCTCTACAATAAATCAAAAAAAACTAGCCGGGTGTGATAGGGCGCGCCTGTAGTTCCAGCTACTCGGAAGGCTGAGGCGGAAGGATCGCCGGAGCCCAGCAGGTCGAGGCTGCGGTGGCCGGGAGCCGCCAGTGCACTCCAGTCTGGGCGACAGAGTGAGACTCCAACTCAAAAAAAAAAAAAAAAAAGGTCACTAATGACTCTTGTCACACAGCTTCAGCGAAGTAATTGGGAAAAGCGCAGCTACAATGTGGGAAACAAAGAGGGAACCGGGCGACGGTGGAGACAATGATGTAGATGCTTTAGGTCCTTGGCTGTGGAGGGATGGCTAGGATTTTAACCCCAGCTCATGTCACGAATCGCCCCTGAACGCTTACAGAATTGGTTGGAAGGAACAGGACACGGCCCCTTCCTCAAAGTGCTCCTGTCTGGCTGTGGAAGACAAGCAGGGGAACCAGTTGCACCACACGGGCTGAGTTAGGGCTGCACTGGAGAGAGCATGGCAGACTCACCTGGGGTGTAGGATTCCAGGGTTCATGGGGGGAGTGGGGGGCTTCCCTGACGTGATTCTTAGATGAATTTGGAAGGATGAGTAGGAGTTCAGTAAGTTCAGTAAGTGAACAAGAGTGGGATAGTCCAGGCAAAGCGAGTAGGGCAAAAGCCTGGAGGCAAGAGAAGGTAGTTGCATCCAGGTGAGGCCCAGGGTGCCTGCAGGAGACAAGTACTTCAAAGAGAAGGGACCCGTTCTCAAAGGGCCTCGGATACTCTTCTGAAAAGCCGCAAGCCTAGCCTTCGTGCTGCCAGCTGAGGAAGTCATGGAGGTAGAATCTGGGATGGGGTTTGCATTTTGACCGAATTTGCTCTGGTGGCAGTGTGGAGGACTGATGCAAAAGGATACCGCTGAGCTGAGAATACCCTTGTGGGAAGGCTGCTGGCCCCATTGGCAGCCTGGGGACAGTGACTGGTACAAGCTGGGCTACAGGAACAGAGGGGAGAAAGCCATTCAGAAAGTCACATCTACAGGACAGAGAGGAGAAAATCCACTGCTGGCTTTCTGACTATCCCCACCCACCAGCTAATAGTTTCACTTGTTGGGTCAAGGATTAGACGAGAAGGAGCCAACTGTGGAGAAAAGAAAATGAGTTTGGTGTTTAACATGGCGATTTTGAGGAGCCAGTGAAACTTCCGAGTGGAAATACCCAGTAGGTGGTTGAAAACCGGTTTGTGGCTCGGAAAAGAGGTCTGAGTGTTCCTACTTCATGGTCTTAGAGCTATAAGGTATGAATTGGATCCGTTAGCTTTGGAAGAAGAGAAGTATGAGGATAGAGTCCTGGGGGACAAGAACATCTAAGGGTGGACAGAAGAAGAGTTGCTAAGGGAGGAAGCTGGGAGGGCAGCCAGGCATAAGTGAGGAGACACCACGGGGGGGACGGGAATGGTCCCCAGGGCCAGGTGCTGGTGTTGAGGTCAGTTCAGTGTTGTTCAATCACCTACATTATGGCCGGCACTGTGGATGCGAAGATTAATGAGGAGAGGTCCCTACTCACGAGGAACTTGCAGTCTAACAGTGGAGGTGAGCACAAAAGTAGACACCGTGCAGTCGTAGAGGCACGCATAGAGCATGTGTGGTACTGTGAAGGCACAGAGGGAAGAGATACTTAGGAGGGGCCAGAGGCGGGAGGCCTGGAGGAGGCTGACGGGGGTCACATCTTCTAGAATGAGAAGTAATTTTGCAAGCATTAAGCAGGAGACTGGGAAGAGGAGGCCCACCTGCAGAGAGAACAGCAGAAGCCACCGCACTGAGGCAGAAATATGATGGTTTGTGTGGGAGGCTAGAAGTCCAAGAAGGTCCACTAAGTGCTGAAAAGCAGCCAGGACTGAGCATTTAAGGAAGTAGCTGTCCAAGGGGTGTGAGGACAGAGCCCAGGCTGTTGGAAGGGAGACATGAAGAAAAAGGGCACCTTCTCAAGTGGTTTGGCTTTGGGCCAAGGACACACAAAGAGAACTCATAAAAGACAAAATCTAGATTATCATTAAAGACATTTAAAAATGTAGGTAGTCAAAAGGGATTTAAAAAATTAATAACAAATGAAGGCCAGGCGCAGTGGCTCACGCCTATAATCCCAGCACTTTTGGGAGGCCAAGGTGGGAGGATTGCCTGAGCCCAGGAGTTTGAGACCAGCCTGGGTAACATAGCAAGACCTCGTTTCACAAAAAAATTTTAAAAATTACCCAGGTGTGGCAATGTGCACCTGTCGTCCCAGCTCCCCTAGATTGAGGCTGTGGTGAGCCATGTCATGCAACTGCACTCCAGTCTGGACAACAGAGTGAGACCCCTGATTCAAAAAATGAGAATAAAAAAAATTAATAGCAAATTAAAATGAAGAGATGCTGTTGTTTAACCTATAAAATTTGCCACTTTTTTTTCTTACTAATGTAAGTTTGGCAAGAATGCTGCAGAATGAGCATTTTCAGAGAAATTGGTACAATCGGGGGCACACCTCATCAACAAGGGTACCTGCATAATGAACATTTGTGTACCTAACCCTGAATCGTACCCCACATATTTAAAATTAAAATTCAAAAAAAGAAATTGGTGCAGTCGTTTTAGAGGTCAGTATGACTATGTAAGACTAGAGAGCTAAGTATATTCATGCTCTTTGATCCAGAAATTTTATTTCTTAGGATTTATTCTGAAGAAAAAGAATCAGAAATTTGGACAGAAGTACTTGTGCAACCGTGTTCATTGCAGTTTTATTCATAAAAACAAAATATTGGGTAGGCCTTTCATATGTGAGAGTAAGGGATTGTTTAAATAAACTGCGGTACATTCATATGATGAAGTGTTTTACCACCATTAAGAACCATGGTTTCAAAGAACGTTTAGTAAAACAAGACATTTCAGAAGTTGTCATATTAAGTTAAAAAAGGACACGGTGGAATATCAAGAATGAATTAAGCGTGTGAGTGTGTCTGCAAGAATCACCAACAATGAGAGTTCTTGTCTTCAGTGGTGGGAGTACAGGTATTTCTTTTTCTTTTTTTTTTTTAACGTCTCTTTTCCAAATTTCGACAATAAGCAGTGAAAGGCAAAGCAGCCTGTGGGAGGAGCCAGGGGAGGACAGTGTTCTGAAAGGGTTGTTTTACTTGTTTAGACTGAAGAACCGGAGTGTGGTGTTATGTGGAGCAGTCAGGTCAATGGAGGAGAGGCTGAACATATAATAAGGGAAGAAGGCTATTTCCTAAGGAGCTGAGTGCAGTGAAGGGGCTGGCTTTCGACAGAGAAGGACACTCTTTGGCTCAGATGACGGGGCGGGAGTCAGGAGAGCTGTGCTCTTGTCCCCTTCATATGCTCGCGACCCAGGACGTGCCTGCCCTGCAGGAAAGGAAGGTCTGAGTGTACAGGAGAAGAAGGTTAGAAGAGTTGCTGCGGTCTGACTCCCATTTTCTCCAGTAAATAAGGGGTCCTGTCCAGAGCAGTGGTTTTCAAACTTTTACCAGTTTGTATTGCAGTTGTATTTTGGTTTTTTTTGGTTTTCTTTTTGAGTTGGAGTCTCACTCTGTCGCCAGGCTGGAGTGTAGTGGCACACTCATGGCCACCGCAGCCTCGACCTGCTGGGCTCAAGTGATCCTTCCGCCTCAGCCTTCCAAACAGCTGGAACCACAGGCGTGTGCCACCGTGCTCAGCTAATTTTTTGATTCATTGCAGAGACAAGGTTTCACCAAGTTGCCTAGGCTGGTCTCGAACCCCTGGGCTCAGGCAATCGTCTCGCTTCAGCCTCCCAAAATGCTGGGATTACAGGCTTGAGGCACCACACACTCAGCCCTACAGTTATTCCTTGTGAGTCTGTGTCCTTCCCTAAGCCATGAGTTCCTTGAGAGAAGAAGAAACTGTGTCTTATTGTCTCTGCATCCACCACTCCCTTCCAGTGACAGTTGTAAGGCAGATACTCAAGAATTGTTTGTTGAATGAATGAATGATGAATGAGTGAGTGCAAGAGGAGACTTAAGGAAAGCAGCAAGGGTTTCACGCAGCTCATGTGGGTGTTTGAGGGGGCTGACACCCTGAGGTGACACCCTAAGGAAAAGCAGCCTGAGGACACAGTTAGATGGAGAGCAGTCCTCTACGTTTTTTTGTTCTTTGTTTCTTGCTTTTCTGAGTCAGGGTCTCACTGTGTCACCTAGACTGTAATGCAGTGGCATGATGATGGCTTACCACAGCCTCAATCTCCTGAGCTCAGGTGATCCTTCTGCCTCAGCCTTCTGAGTGGCTGGGACTCCAGGTGTGTGCCACCACACCTGTCTAATTTTTTTGACTTTTTTGTGAGACAAGGTCTCACTATGTTGCTCAGGTTGGTCTCAAACTCATAGGCTCAAGCAATCCTTCCACCTCGACCTCCTAAAATGTTAGAATCACAGGTGTGAGCCACCATATCTGACCCAGATATCCCTCTGCTTTTAAGAGGACTCCAAAGAGACACTTTTGAGGGAACTGATAATAGTTCAGGTGATCAGTTCTGCTCCCTGTCCAATTTGTCCCTCATTCATGAAAGTCTTTTGAACTCATGGGGACCAATGAAAGGATAGAGATCTGCCCAGCCCAGCCCCATAAAAGAGATTGGTCCTCTTAGCTCCCAAGACCTACCTTTCCTAAATCGTAGCTTTCCTTTTGCAAACCTGTGCAGACTTTTTAGTTTCTTAATGGGTAATACCTACCTTGGATAGTAAGTTGGATCAAGTACGTAGAAGTCTTTTAACTCTAAAGGACCATATGAAAACAAGGAATTATTATTTTAGGGATAGTTTACTTATTTTTGTTCCTGAAAGTAAGAAGTCACACATTTTTTATGCTTCAGATACCAGAGAAATAGCTTCTTCCAGCCAAATTTCAGGGTTCTGAGGCAGCCTAAGTTGGAAAATCCCACCAAAGGAGAGGACTGTATTTTTTTTCACCCTACTACAATTTTGCTTTAAGGTTGTCAGGATGATGTTATCCAAGAGGAATGGTTTAAGTATGAGTAGAAGCTGACATGGATTAACTCTCACAGGAAGATCTATGGAATTAGAAAGAATTGGACCAGGGTGATGATTTTCACACCTACAATCAGTTTTTTTTTCCTGACTTTTTTTTGTCTCCCAAAGCAGAATTGCATTGATGAAATTGAGACCATAATCAGTGTTAAGCTCCAGCTCATTGGAATTGTCGGGATCGGAATTGCAGGTCTCACGGTAAGAAAGTTCTAGAACTTATGTCTTTTTGCCCCCTAAAAAGCTTTGAACCTTTGCATCTTATTTCTCTTCAAGTGTGATGTGGCAGTACCTTAAAAGAGAATTATCATGAAGAACAAAGACCTTTGTTCACCGTACATCTAAGAACAAAGCTAATTAAGTAATGCATCAGTATTCTGTCCTCTAAAATATAATACAAATTTAAACTTTTATTCATTATGACCTTGAGTTTATCATTGTGAAAACTTTCCTTTTTTTTTTTTGAGTTGGAGTCTCTCCGTTGCCCAGGCTGGAGTGTAGTGGCATGCTCATGGCCACCGCAGCCTCGACCCGCTGGGCTCCGGCGATCCTTCCACCTCAGCCTTCCAAGTAGCCATAACTGTAGGCACACGCTACCATGCCCAGCTAATTTTTTTATTTATTGTAGAGATGTCTCACCAAGTTGCCCAGGCTGTTCTCGAACCTGTGGACTCAGGCGATCCCCTCACCTCGGCCTCCCAAAGTACTGGGATTACAGGCCTGAGCCACCGTGCCCAGCCAAAACGTTCCATTTTAAGGCTACCAGTCTTATCTAGATAAGTGCTTTTCAAATTCTAGGTCTCTTTCTACTGTTACACATTTGAATAACACAATATCAGAGCCATTTCTCTCACCTACAATTTGGAGAGTTCACATAGCATAGTGATTAATAGTCGAGCCCTGGCATCACACAGTCTGGATTCAAATCCTGGCTCCGCTGCTACAAGCTCTGGGACCATAAGAAAGTTTCTTGGTTTCTCTATGCCTCAATTTCCTTACCTGTAAAATGAGGAATTTAATATACTAATCTCACAAGATTTTTGTGAAGATTAAATGGGCTGCTACATGTTAATGCACATGAAGTGTCGGGAACATATGGCACTCAATAAATGCCAGCTCGTTCCATGATCTGAGTGTTCCCAAACCCGAAACCAGTCAGAGGGAATAGCATATGAGAGGGTGTGAAGCACTGTGAACCTGGGTGTCTACAGCTAAGTGCTTCTAAAGTACCAAAGAAGAGTGTACCTCTGAGAGTAGTGGACAGGTATGGTAGGAGTAGCAAGAGACGGCAAGGAGAGAGCATGGCTCCCACATCCTTGAGGTCGTGTGCCCCTCTGAGCCTGTAGGCTTTATTCTCAAGGAGAAAGCAGCACTAAGGGCCAGAAGGATCTGTGGGACAGGAGGGAGAAAGGGTTGGAAGGAGGCAAGATGGGAGTCAGGGTGGCTAGTGAAGAGGCTATTTTCATTGTCAGGGACTGGGTGATAACAGCTCATGCTAAGATAGCATTTACTCTCTAGCCCTTTATATAGATTAACTCATGGCCTAAACCAAAGCAGGACCTGTGGTCACTGTGAGGAAAGCAATGAACTGGCAGTTCTCGGGGGACTTATAAGCACCTTCCCCCTTTTCTGTGTTTGGAGCACAGAGGAATAGAGCAATGGCCGGAAACCCTGTGCTGAGGCTCTCCAAATCCAAGGGTGGCTCTTTGACCCTTCCACCTGCTTGGAGCTGGCCTGGATGCCATGCCGCAGCTCCCCCAAGGACAATCCCAAGGCAGGAAGTTTGAGAACATTCCACATAATGGCGATATCGAGTAGACCCTCCTAACAATTCTACAATCTCAACAAATGAGCAGCCTGGAAGCGGTGACCCCTGACTCGTGTCAGCAGCAGGCTGAGACTGAGAAGTTTCTTTCTGGGGGATCCCTTTAGAGCACAGCCAGAATGGGGCAGGGGCTGCATTCAGTCTTCCAGGCGTGATAAAGTAGGAAGCGCCCGTGGGGGGCTGTCTTGAGTCAGCACCCCCAGAGTTTCTTCTTTAGTCCTTTTCTTTGTAAGGTGAGAGTTGCACAGTATAGTTCATTAACAAAAGGTCCATTAGATGTCTCCCCTGCCACACCCTGGTGCCACTCCTGGCTATGCCCTCGCCTAAGTCTGCCCTTCCCCTTCCAAAACAACTGACCATCCGTGCCTTGTTGAATTTAGTATCTCCGGATCCTAAACTGACTTAAAATGGAATTGAGCAGAGAATCAGAGAGTTTGGGGACCAGTTTTTAAAACAAGCATTGACAGTCGTTTATAAAATGGTCCCCATAGACAGGGCTCCACAGGCTCTGTGAGATTTGGGGGGAAATCGTTGACGATAAGAAGGGTCTTTGGCATCCTTCCATTCAAACCATGTAAGTGGATATTGATTTCACCTAAACGTTTAACTTCCCAGAGAACTATCCAAAAGGAAATAGAAGTCAGTTACGTCATAGACCAAACACCTCTTTTATGCTCTGTAAAACCACTGAGTTACACAGTGAAGCATCATTTGCCTTAGAAATGGACCAGGAAAGAAGTGATGGCTCCACTTTTTATATGTGATCATTATCGTAAAAATTCAGGTCTTCTTCAGCAAGAGAAAACTATTTAGACAGCAAGCATACTTAAATAACACATGGCAAGGAAGGCATTTTTCAAAATAAATATGCATCATATAATTGAGGTCTAGGATTAACCTGGAATATAAAATTCCGAAACCAGTAGTGTGTCAGTCTTTCACAATGATTAAGAACTGTTATATAATTCTGAAACAAAGCCCTTTTCTTCAAGCACAGCCTTGCTATTTTTTCACAACAATAATATAACAATGCATTTCAAGCAGAGTTAATATGGAAATCTTTACCCTGTAGCAAGCATTAAGTAACATATATATAAATGTCAATGATAACCCGTAATCATTGGCTATAATTATTTGTTAACTCAAGTTAGACACCCAGGCAGTTTGCTGACATTTTAGTCAATCAGGACACATTTGAAAGTCACTAACAAATGGTTCCTTCTGTTTCAGATCTTTGGCATGATATTCAGCATGGTCCTTTGCTGTGCAATACGAAACTCGCGAGATGTGATATGAAGCTACTTCTGTGTGAAAATTACAGCATAGACCTTTCATACCAAATATCACAGGAGCTGTCTCCCAGCTCATTTTTAATATTCAAATGACATTAGGATCTAACATAATTTGCTGTCAATTGTACGTTTGCACATGTTGTATGTTTGGCTTGTTACTGGTTTACCCCTTGAGTGAATGCCTGTGTACGTTGACTGAGAACCTATCATGTGTGATCTGTGTGTTGCTGGTACATGCATTATACATAACGAAATCTGTTTGCTGAGAATTCCTGATTCTTGCTATGTAACAGAAACTTCCAGAAAAAGAAAAAAAGCTATAAGAAATTTTAAAAACTTGGCTATGCTGAAAAAGTGATAATGGGTCAGTTTCTCAGACTCCAGCCATTGAAAATAAGATACAGAGAATTTAGAGATTTCTAGTAAATGGAAGCAATAAGCTGCAGGAATTGAGAGATCACAATGGAATGTTAAAATTGACCATGTCTGAGTTGGGTGTAAGAATCTCCCAGGATTTTTTTATATACGTGCTCTCCCCAGAATACAGTAAACCACAGTTTTAGAACTAAACACATCTGTAAAACTAAATATAGTATGGAAAATCTAATTTGAATAAGTCATGCTTTCCTAGTGTTTAAAAACAAAAGCCTCCCTCTGGAAAGAGAAGTCACACAGACAATCATGTGCCCTATAAAACTGAGTATTTATAGGACTAAAACTTTTAACAACTCTCTAAGAAAATATTTTTGTTCTTATACAAAGTCATATAAATATTGCTTTTTCACTTTCCTTTTCTGACTTTGCTCTGAACTACTGTAATCCTCACGTCCTCAAAAGGGGCTTTTATCTCACACTCTTCTGTGTCTCTCCAAACGTAAGGACAGAAAGACTGAAGCAAGAGACCTGGCAGTTGCAAAGTGTGGAAACAAGAACGTTCGCTGGCACTGTATCTGAAATACCTCATAACTGGAGTTTATGTATTTTCCTTATTTTTTGTATTTTTCTTATTTATTCACCTAGTTAATTCTTCACAAATTAAGAACTGCAGTTTCTACCACTCAAAATAAGTAAAACAAAGCCCTTCACAATTCAAATATTACCTAGGAGCATCCCTGAGCAATCCAAAATAAGCAAAGAAAAGCATCTTCTCCTAAGTTGTATGCCCATAACAGAGGCAAGGTAAGGAAATAAAAATACTTATATATACACATAACACAAATATGTTTTTTCTGTGCAAGTTCCCTATGAAAAGAAAATTTTCAGGGCTTTTTATGGTCTTAATGCTTGATTTTAGGCATATTTGTCAGTAATTTTTAACAACTTGTTACATGTAGCAAATCACAGGTTTTTAAAAATTGCATTTTAAAAGACCACACAATAGTGAAAGTATCAGAGACTCTAGAGCCCCCAAGTGAACTTCTATATATCTAAGAACACTAGCCTTTGGGTGTGACCCAAAGGGAAGTTTGCTCTCCCAAGAAATTTCCACAAAACATTTTGCTGAAAAGACATAACTGCTTGAAATAGTCTCACTCGCATGGAGAACAACGTTTTTCTTTCTTCCACGCTTGTTACTGCTACTAACTCTGGAGGAGATTTTCTAGGGGAAAAAAAAAGATTGGAAACAAGCTAAAAACTTAGGTGTCCATGGCTACTTTACTGTGTCTGTAGCTCAAGAAAAGATTATTTTAAGAAAATCCCCTTTCATGAAGTAGATATTTGTACTCCAATAGCTGAGAAATGCAACCTTTTAAGCAGAACACAGTCCGTCCTTGGTAGCCTTAGTTCATCTGTCTGCCTGAAGACAGGAAACAGGCCCAAACACACACTCTGGTTCCTTCTAGCCCAGAATCATCTCTGATTCCACAAAAAGTGAGTTTCATTCCCTGAATTAACAACCTTAAAGAAGACTACAATAGTTAAAAGTGGAAGAATAGAGATAAATTAATTTTAAAGTTTTTATTTTTTGTTTTATTGTATTTGATTTTGAGTCGGAGTCGGCACACTCACAACCACCACAGCCTCGACCTGCTGGGCTCAGGTATTCCTGCCTCAGTCTCCCAAGTATCCGGGACGACAGGTGTGCGCTACCACGCCCGGCTAATTTTTGATTTATTGTAGAGACGAGGTCTCGCCAAGTTGCCCAGGCAGGTCTTGAACCCCTGGGCTCAGGCAATCCTCTCGCCTCAGCTTCTCAAAATGCTGGGATTACAGGCTCGAGCCACCGTGCCCAGCCAGTTTTAAATTTTTTAAATTAAAAAATGGAGGAGAAGATATCTGTTATACATATAATTAATGTGCCCTTTTGGAGGGTGAGTTTTCCAAAATATGTGCATGCAAAAAATTAGAGAATTCTACCAATGAGTGATGGTAGATTTTATCTATATGTATATGTACACACAGATAGATATATAAATATAGATAACTATATATCTATGTGTGAATAGATATTAATATATCTATCTGCAGATATATAATCCCTACATATCTTGAATCTATATATCCTGATTACATATCTCTTGAGTATATATACATATTACATATGTAGTTTGAATGTGTATACATGTATGTATTGTGTATGTATATGTGTGTATGTTTATATATGCACACACGTGTATACATGAATTTTCAGTTATTTCTGTTTCCCTGAACTAACTTGAGATCAGACCCAAACATTCTCAAGCCTCTTATACCAAGGCAGTGAATTAAAACTTCTTGATGATGAAATATTTTAAGTTATTTCAAATTAAATTTTCTATGTATTGAAATTGCTTGTTTGATTTATCGCACAGCCCTGTTATATATTTCTACACACCTTCCCACAACGTATCTAAATGCCCAACTACCAATAAAACCAAATAATGTAAAAACAGAAACAACAGTAGCCCTTCCATAATGTTATTAATGGTAGTTGGGCGTAAAAGCAACACAGTAAGGTCTTTTATTGTATATATAGTCATCCTTTGTATTTGTGGGTGTAGTATTTGCATATAACCTGTGCACATCCTTTCATATGCTTTATTTTTTTATTTCTATTTTTCATAGAAATGAGAGTTGTACATGTGTATGGGGTACATGTGATATTTTGTTATAAGCATATAATGTGTAATGATCAAATCAGGGTAATTGGGGTATTAATCATCTCAAGCATTTATCATTTCTTTGTGTTAAGAATAATCCAGATCTCCTCTTCTGGCTATTTTGAAATATACAATAAATTATAGCTAACTATAGTTGCTCTCTTGTACTACAAAACACTAGAACATACTCCTTTTATCTTCTTGTATTTTTGTACTCAGTAATCAATGCCTCTCCATCCCTCTGTCCGCACTACCCTTCTCAGCCTCTGGTAACCAACTGGGGTATGGACTACCTGCATGAGATCAATGTTTTTAGTTCCCATACATGAATAAGAACATGTGATCTGTCTCTTTCTGTGCCTGGCTTATTTCATGTAACATAATATCCTCCAGTTTCTTCCATGTTGCTGCAAATGACAAAATTTCTTTCTCTTTTAGGACTAATATTCCATTGTGTATATATACTTCACTTTCTTTATTCATGTATTTGTTAATGGGTGTTTAGGCTGATTCCAACTTAAGGGAATTGCAGGATCATATGATAATTCTGTTTTTAGTTTCCTGAGGAATCTCCACACTGCTTTCCACAGCGCCTGTAGTCATGTACGTTCCTACCACAGCATACCAGGATTCCCCTTTCTCCACATCCTTGCCAGCAGCTGTTATTTCCTGTCTTTTTCTTTTTTAATAACAGACATTTTAACTAGAGTGAGATGTTATCCTATTGCGGTTTGATTTGCATTTCCAGGATGATTAGTGATGCTGAGCATTTTTTTATATGCCTGTTGGCCATTTGTACGTCTTGAGAAATGTCTGTTTAGCTCTTCTCATTTTTTTCATATTTTGGATTTTTTTTAAAATGTAGGGTACAATTCAGCTGCCCATTTTTAAATTAGATTATTTTGTTTTTGTTTTTTTGCTATTGAGTTGAGTTTCTTATGTATTGCGATTATTAACTTGTCAGATGGAGAGTTGGCAAATATCCCATTCTGTAAGTTGTCTCTTCACTCTGTTGATTGTTTCATTTGCTGTGCAGAAACTTTTTAGCTTGAAGAAATTCCATTTGTCCATTTTCGCTTTGGTTGTCTGTGCTTTTGAGGTCTTCTCCAAGAAGGCTTTGCCCAGACTGATCCCCTGAAGCATCTTCCCAATGTTTTTTACTAGTAGTTTTGTAGTTTCTGAGCTTATATTTAGATTTAATTAATTACAATTAAGTCTTTAATCTATTTTGAATCAAATTTTATATATGGCGAGAAAAACTGGATATCCATATGCAGATAGGGGTCTCGTTGTGTTCTGCTGCAAATGGATATCCAACTTTCCCAGCATCATTTACTGAAGAGACTGTCCTGTCCTCAGTGTATGTTCTTGATACCTTTGTTGAAAATGAGTTACCTGTAAATGCATAGATTTATATCAGAGTTCTCCATTCTGTACCATTAGTTGATGTGTTTGTTTTTATGCCTGTAACATGATGTTTTGGTTACAATATCTTCGTAGTATACTGTGAAGTCAGAGGCATTGTGATGCCTCCAGCTTTGTTCTTTTTACCCAAGATTGCTTTGGCTATTCAGGGTCTTTGCAGTTTCATGTGACTTAGAATTTTTTTATTGTTGTGAATGATGTCATTGGTATTTGATAGGGGTTACATTGACTCTGTAGATCACTTTGGGTAGTATCGTCATTTTTAACAATATTAATTTTTCCAATTCATGAACATGGATGTTTTTCCTTTATTTTTTTTTTTGAGTTGGAGTCTCACTCCGTCACCCAGGCTGGAGTGCAGTGGCCGCTCCCGGCCACCACAGCCTCGACCTGCCGGGCTCTGGCGATCCTTCCACCTCAGCCTTCCAAGTAGCCGGAATTACAGGCACGCGCTACCACGCCCAGCTGATTTTTTGATTTATCGTAGAGATGAGCTCTCGCCAAGTTACCCAGGCGGGTCTCGAACCCACGGGCTCAGGCAATCCTCCCACCTCAGCCTCCCAAAGGCACGGGATTACAGGCTGAGCCACCGAGCCCGGCATTTTTCCATTTTGTGTGTCCTCTTCAATTTCTTTTATCATTTTAATTGTAGAAAGCTCTCATTTCTTTGGTTTATGTTATTCCTAGATTTTTTTTTGTAGTTATTGTAAATAGGATTGCTTTCTTGATTTTTTTTTTCAGATTGTTCACTACTGTTATTGGCAGAATTAAAATACTGCTGGTTTTTGTATATTAATTTTGTATCCTGCAACTTAACCAGTTTTAACAGTTTTGGGGGGCAGATTAGGTTTTTCTAAATATAAATTATGGTGTCTGCAAACAAGGACAATTTTACTTCTTTCTTTCCATTTTGGATGTCCTTTATTTCTTTCTTTTGCCTAATTTCTCTAGCTAGGACTTCCAATGCTATGCTGAATAGAAGTAGTGAAAGTGGGTATCTTTGTATTGTTCCAGATCTCAGAGGAAACGCTTTTATTATTCCTCATGATGTATTATGCTAGTTATGGGTTTGTCATATATGATCTCTATTGTCTTGTGATATGTTCCTTCTATACCCAGTTTGTTGAGAGCCTTTATCATGAAGGGATGTTAAGTTTTATTGAGTGCCTTTTCAGCTTCTATTAAAATGATCATACGATTTTTGTTCTTTATTAACGTGACATATGACATTTATTGATTTGTATATGTTGAATCATCCTTTCCATTCTTGGGATGAATCCCAATTTATTATCGTGAATGATCTTTTTAATTTGCTGGATTTGGTCTGTCAGTATTTTCTTGAGGATTTTTACATTTATGTTCATCAGGAATATTGGTCTGTAGTTCTCTTTTGTTGTGTCTGTCTAGTTTTAGCATCAGGGTAATGCTGGCCTCATAGAATGAGTTTAGAAGCATTCCCTTTTCTTCAATGTGTTAGAATGGTTTGAGTAGAAATGGGATTCATTCTGCTTTAAATGTTTGGTAGAATTTAGCGGTGAAGGCTTTCAGTCCTGGGTCTTTCTTTAATGAGAGGCTTTGAATTACTGCTTCGATTTCATTACTTGTTATTAATCTACTCAGGCTTTCTGCATCTTCATGGTTCCATCTTGGTAGGTTTTAGATGTCTAGGAATTTACCCATCTGTTCTAAGTTTTTCTTTTTTTAAAATTTTTTATATTCAGGGTTAAGTATACAAATGTTCATTATGCAATTACCCTTGTTAAT